CCTAAACCCTAAACCACAAACCCTAAACCCGAAGCCCTAAACCCTCGCGAAGGTTCAGATGCAGCCCCTTCAGCCCGTCCAGGCCCCGGAAGGCCCTGGGACGGAGACTCTTCAGCCTGGGCTTTGAAGTAACCAGGGAGAAAAAAAGAGCCACGGTTTGGGGTTTAGGGTTTAGGGTTTAGGGTTTAGGGTTTAGGGTTTAGGGTTTAGGGTTTAGGGTGTATAGACTTTTATTTCATAATGGTTCTTCTAAGGAACAAGTCCCACAAAAAAGTATTAAAGTATGGTACTCCAAAGCCCAGCAGCTGATCCGAATTCAGCGTGAGACCTTTCCTGGGCTTGGGTTTAGGGGTCAGGGTTTACGGTTTAGGGTTTAGGGTTTAGGGTTTTAGGGGTCCCCTTTAAGGGATCTATAAAGGGGTTCGTTTAAAGGGATCTACTGGGTCTATAGAGTCAAGGGGCTTAGGAGTTTAGGGCTTTAAGGCTTGAGGGCTTTGGGGCTTTGGGGTTTGGGATTTACTTAAAGGATCATGGGACTTGATAACTAGGGTTATAATTAAGGTGACTATACTTATATACCCCAATTAAGGTACTTATAACCCTGCTTACTAAGTCCCACGATCCTCCAAGTAGGCCAGATCCAAAAGCAGCACAAAATCCTGTCATTCCCCCTAAAAAACTCGTCCAAACCCTATCAAAACCTTCTGGTAAAATTCCTGAACACCTTTGCCTTAACAAAAAAGCCTTCAGAACCCCTGTCAAAATCAGCAGACCCTAAACCCTAAACCCTAAAACCCAAACCCTAAACCCTAAACCCCAAGAAGAGCACGAGCTGCAGCTTCCGCAGGCCCAGGAAGGCATCGGCGGGGAGGCTCTGGAGAGGGTTGGAGCTGAGATGCCTGGTAAGCTAGGGTTTTATAGGGTTTAGGGTTTAGGGTTTTATAGGGTTTAGGGTTTTATAGGGTTCAGGGCTTAGGGAATAAGGGTTTTGCCACATGTCCGCTCTCATAGTTAGACTAGAGTTCCTTTTAAGGGCTCCTGTAAAGGTTCTAAATAAGGGGTACTTTGCAGGATATTTATTGTCGGGGTCTTAATATAGGGGCCTTAATAACTGGCGCAATTAGAATAGAGTTTATGGGGTGTTATAGTAAAGTTATTGACCTGGATTCAGGCAAGGGTTTTGAAGAGTCTGACAAGGGATGTTACCCAAACAGGATTTAGCTGCTATTCTTCCACCCAAAGGCGTTCCGCGGATGGACACCGCTTTGTCACGGCCTACATGCTGGACTCCGGGAACGCGTGATTCATCGTAAGGGCTCCACTTTAGATTCATGCATCGCGCCCTAGCCACAGTGCCGCTCATATGATACTGTGTTTTTGCCGTTATAGTATAGTAAAGTCAGCATGGTATAGCATGGTATAGCATGGCATAGCATAGCATAGCATAGCATGGTATAGAATACTGTAGTGCTCGAAGAACCTGGTAGGGCCACGCTAGTCGCCTTGAAGTAGCTCCTTGGTGTGAGTCCGAAATTCCCGCGTTCTAAAGGGTTTAGCGAGTTGTCGGAAATTGAAAATATGATCCCGCCAAGTCCCGTGCACATTTTGGTTTTGCGCATGGCCTTCACGCCAAAGTCCCGTGCGCTTCTCCGAAATTGTGCTCCCGCCACAGCGCCGTCCCGAAAAAAAAAACCGTGCTCCCGCAACAGTCAGCGCACGCTGGGGTGCGGGACTCGCGCTCCACAGTGCGATGGGGCTTAGGGTTTAGGGGTTCAGGGCTTAGGGGTTTGGGTTTAGGGCTTAGGGCTTAGGGTTTGGGGCTTAGGGCTTAGGGTGGTAGGGTTTAGGGCTTAGGGTTTAGGGATGACCTTGGGAGCCTCAGGGGTGGATTAAGGAGAGAGTGCCTTAAGTTCCCGCAGGGTTTAGGGTTTAGGGTTTAGGGTTTAGGGTTTAGGGTTTAGGGTTTAGGGTTTAGGGTTTAGGGTTTAGGGTTTAGGGGAGATTCATATGATGACTGCAGACAGTAACTGTTGATGATACAAATCCTGCATTACCTTATAAGGACTTATGGGAAATCTGGTATACTCCTTATGCTGGGTAATGCAGGATTTATATTGTAACCGTATCACTCATTGCAAGGCATCTCTTACCAAAGTAGCTTTAGCCAAGTTCCTTGATGAGAGCCTAGAAAATACAGAGGTCTGAGGAATTATTGACATAGTCCCTTTAAAAGTATGCAGTAGTCTACACAAAAATTGATTCTCATTTTGGCGTTCACTCCAACTGCGTGTTACAAAGCCATACCAACACCACTACAAAACCCTCACAACGTCCGATGCATCCTGCAAAACCTCATCAACCTCGTAGAAACCCCGAGTAAGAAGAGCCCAGATGCAACATCTTCAGCACCCCGAGATGCTCGAAAAGGCCGCTGGGAAGCTTCGAAAGCTGGTTGTAGTCCAGCCTCAAGCCCTAAACCCTGAACCCCACACCCCAAACCCTAAACC